AAATAGAAGTTAGAAAAAAAAAAAGTTCTATTTTCATGACGAATTGATTAAGGAGTTATATTGAATAAAATTTTGTTTTCTTTTAGCTTATCGATTAGAAGGTATATCAATATCAAATAGAGATGACGAACAATTATCTTTAATATCGAAATTAAAATTGTTCTTACCAATAATTGATGCTGTTGGATTAAGTACTCAAATAATTAGTAATCAAAGTTTAACAAAATGGTTTCAATCATTAGAAAAATTAATAAAATATTCCTTAGCAAAATTAATATTTGAATTACTTGATAAAAAAGTCAATGAACAATTAACAGAAATTCTCTTTAAAAAGACTTTAATAAATTCTAAAGAAAAAGATTATCCATTACAAGTTATTTTAATTGTTGAACATATTTTATTTAGTTTAATACTTGAAAAACAAATTAAAAAACAAACAAAATTATTTATTCGAAATATGAAGTTTGTTTATTCTTTTTTTTTGTTTTATTCATAAAATAAATTAAGAATTAATAATAAAAATTTAGATTTAAAATTGAAGATCAACTAAATGCATTAATTAAAAATCGAATAAAACAACAAAATTGTTTAATTATTCAACGATTATATTTTCGAGATATTTTATCAAGTAAAAACAAACAAAAAAAAAAAAGAAATGTTTTTTTTTTTCTTTATTTTCTTCTGCTTATGATTTCTTTATTTAAGAATTAATCGAAATTGAAAATGATTTAACATTAAATAGTTATGAATGGTTATCCTTAATTAAATATGAAATTGATCAAAATTCTCGAACAGAAAATAAAATTCATTTTGTTCAATTTTCTAATCGAATTCATTATAATTTTGAATTTATCGGTATTACAATTTTTCATTTTTATTTAAAATAAATTCTTGTTTATTTAGAACCATCATCAACGTTTATAATTTCACCTATGATGGAACGAACATTATTTCAATTAACTCAAGCTATTTGTGCCTATAGAATTGGTGTTGTTCATGCACCATCACAATATGGACGATCAGCGGTTATTCAAACTTTAGCACAGGTTTTCTTCTTTTTTTTTTTTTTTTTTTTGAAATAAACTCTATTATTTAAAATATAATCAATATTTATAGTTATGTGGATCAAATTGTATTAGTTTATTATGTAATTCATCGACAAGTGTTAATCAAATAGAAAATTTTCATCAAGGTTTAGTTGTATCAAATAGTTGGTGTTTATTTAAAGATATTCAACAACTTTCAATCGGTATTTAGTTTTAACATTTGACATCGATCAATTTTTTTCGATTAATTTTTCTTTTCAATAGAAAAGAATAAAAAAACAATATGAATCGATATTAGTGTTTCTATAGAGTATTTATAAAATACGCTCTGAATGCGTCTGAGTTCACTGAACTCTATTCTGCACCAAAATCTCAACAAAATAAATGTTTCAAAAATGTAGTCTCTGCAACATATTTTAAACTAGCTAGAGCCATTAAGTATTTACTACAACTTCATTTAACGTCATTCTTCCGAACATTTATTTTTTTTTGAGCTTTTAGCTCAGAGTGGATCACTCGAAAAACTTGTAAAATAAAGTTCAGTGNATTTGTTCTTTTTTTAAATTTATTTTGTTTTAGAATGCTTTTATCAAAATCAGTCGAATGAATTGCTTTATCGGATTTAGAAAAAAATAAATTTTTATTGCCAAGACCTGAGTTTTCTCTTGAACCATATCAAAGATTTGAAAAAAATATTATTCATTTATCAGAAAAACAAACAAAAGATTTCGATAAATATTTATAAGATACTACGCTTTTCGGTAAGACATTTATTTGACACTGTATTCGATACATCATTATACAAAAGTTAATTTATATAATATCAATATTATCGAATATTTCGTCTTTTTAAAATCTCGTTCTTGTATTCATGAATAATATGTAAGATCAAGTTTTTTAATCCTGACCTTGGAAAAACTCTATGATAATAGAACTTACTTTCGTGTGATGAAAATTTGATTACATTTTTTAGTACTGATCTCTTAGTCAACATTTTATTTGCATAATCAACAGCTGATTCTGCTTAACAGGCGATACTTTATTAAAATGGGATACCATGACTTTATAACAAAAAACAATGGTGAAAATCGAAATTGATACTCTCATCTCTCGTCGTCGAACATGAAAAATCAACAATCATAATTACTGATTTTCGAATTTCAGCACTTGAAAATATTTCAAAAGACTTTATGATAAATTCAGGTCGAGAATTCTGTTACAAGACTATCATAAACATGGAGATTACTCAATGGAAGAAGAAGCGAAAATTTCATATTTCACTGTACTCAGCGTACTGTAGAAATACATCAAAACTATCACTGAGAAATTTCTAACTACTTCAAGGCTACTATTGGTCTGTATCGCGAGTATTTTAGTTTGAGTTTATTGTTAAATAAGTCAATTCGGCAATAAATCCAAAATAATTCATTTTACTTCATCGTTTGAGTGTTAATAAAATTAAAAAAAAGTATTTGAGCTTTATTATCGAGAAGAGTCATGTGCAATGAACTCAAACTAATATACTTAGCTAAGAAGTTCTCGAAGATAGCTTTGATGTACTCTTGGATACAGTAATCTGCGAAATATTCGATTTCTCTCTTGGAATGATTTCTTTGTTCAATTGTCGAAATTTTTCATTTTCCTTTGTAGAAGTTTACAAGAATTTCTTTCGGCTTACTGACGAGGCATCGCCTTTTCCTTTCAATGCTAACCTCTATCATGATAGCCTTAACCTACTGTTTATCCTTTGAATAACATTGTTAATAGGACAAGATCATCGAATTATGTTGCTTTAGTAGAAAATCGTTTCACTCATAAAATAGTATGTATAGCGGAATTCTGCAAGTTTAATATAGTATCATGACTTGTAGAATATTTTATTAAGTATTTTATTGGAAAAATGTTTATTTGTAGATATGATTGTTATAATTGACGAACATGATTATTTTTGATTAAGTCCATTTTTATATCGATTTCTTTGTTGGTCATTAAGACGAGAACAATATCCATTAACATTTTCAAATTTATACCATTTTGGTGATCAAGGCATCTTTATTAATTTATCATTTCTTTTTCTTTTTGATTTTTATCGAATTGATCGAATGTGTATGTATTAAAACATACAAATCTTATCAATTTAAACTTTTTTTTATTTTTTCTAATAAATTTAGAGTCGAAAAATGTTCCATTAAAAAGTTGTTTAATTGATATGAGTTTAAGTTTAAATAAAATTGACAATGATCTTTGGCTTCTTTTTGTTGAATTAAACTGTCAAAGTAATATTATTCAAAAAATTCGTTCAAATGAACGAAATCATTTAATTTCACTAAATGAAAAGTTTCAACGACGGATTAGTTATATAGAAAAAAATTTCTTTTTGTTTCTAATAAAATAAATATAATCAACTTTTAGGAAAAATTAATTCATATGCTTGAGTTAAAAGAAAATTTAACAATTGATTCAGAAAAATTATTAATAATATTAAATAATTTTCATAAGGATCGAATTATAATTAAGAATTCTCTTAATGAACATCAAGCTCAACGTCAAATGTTATGTTTTAGAACAGGTTGTGAAGCCTATAGAGAAACAGCTAAACATTTATCACAACTTCATATATTATTAAGAGATTCAATATTGATTTAAAAATTCCAATAGAATGGTTTATGTAAATTGTAACAAATAATTTATCATGAAGAATTGAGTTTAGATATTATTAGTAAAGTTCAAGCAAGAGAAACTTATCTTCGTTGTTGTGAATCAATTTATTCTTATGTTTCATCAACTATGTCAAATGATTAACTTCATTGTTTTCTTATTATATTTACATTTCTTAAACAAGATTAATATTGAAAATATTCAATTATTTGAATTTATTGTTAATAAGGGCGGATGGGTGAGGGTGCGGGTGAGAATAANTCATTATGCCCAATCGGTTAATTTTTACAGTTTTTTGTATATCTTCACTTTTCATCCTTTTTCAAATATATCTAGAATAATTTTGCAGTTCAATCACTTCCATTTTAGTAGAGAATTTCAAGCGCTATCTTTTGATAAAAAAAGTGTTTGAATCATATGAAGAATAAAGAGAAAATATTCAAAATACAAACAGTATAATTTATTCTGGCCCACCCGTTAGTCAGACGGGCACGTTGAAAGGACGCCTTCGAAACGGACGAACGCACGTGAAATGCGTTCGATAGTGATTACTTGTTCAGAACACGTTCGTAGCATTCTACTCTTCTTTATAGAGATGGTGATCCGATTAGATATTCATAATGGTAGTTAGATGACAATATATCTGTATAGGCGTATGCCCTATACATCTTTCGAAAAGTTTACTCAAGTTAGGTAATAATGAGATGAGACGTAAATGATTCTCTGATGGAAAGACATCTTCCTTCGATACACGTAAGATCTTATCTACTTTACTGGCTTCAAAGAATTCTCTTCTTGAAGCACATTTATTAAAAATGACCATAATTATGCTCGTATTATCTATTGAGAGGTATTTTAATAGAAACGTTAATATAGTTAGAATATTGATTGATTTGTTTTTTGGTATTATCTTAAGTCACTGTTTATAGACTTCTTCTATTTTAATCGGTTGAATTGATAATTTTGATAGATCTTCTATTTGATTGTATATTTTTAAGTACGCAATGTGTTCATTAATTTCAAGATCATGAATTACATAGTTTCGATAAATGTTTTTCGAAATACTCTCTTGATTGATCTACGATCTTCTCACTAATGTTTATAAATTATTTATCATTAATTTTTAGTCCTATAAAAAATGGAGGATAGGAATGAAAAGTTGATTTTACCACCTTTCATATAGTTTGATTATTATTAAAATTTTTAAAATGTTTTACATGTTTTGTTTTTCTTCGTATAATGTTCTGGCGTGATGATATTGATCTTAATTCTTTCTATGCGTATATATATATGAAATGTGCTATACGATATTTACAGTTTACTATTATTAACTTGTTTAGCTAGTGAAACTAAGTATGAACGCCAGAGAGACCATATTTCGACAATAATATTGTATATGTATGCCTTCTGGTATTGGAGAAATTCGTAAGTGCCATTCTATTTAAACCTATATATCTGTAAATACTATTGACGAATACAATGAGTGTTGTACTATTTACATAGAACAGAAGATTCTAGATGGAAGAATAAAACAAAAAATAAGCAACGCCATAAATAAGAGAAACTTATTCTCCTATCATGAAAGCTAAATTTGAAACATGAAAACATTAGAGAAAACTAACAATAAATAAATTTTGGAGCGGCTAGATATTTCGTTGAATTAAATCTCTCAAGGCAACATAGATTCTTTGGAAAACAATAATTTTTAATTAGCACTTTGAAATAACTATTAATAAATTCAATTCTGTCATCAATACGACAGGTAGAATCAATCAGTTTCTAAAAATCAACACATAGGTGTAATTTTTATGAAGAACAAAATTAGAAAGATTACATTTAGTAGTTGAATAATGAGTAATAGACTAATATTAGTTGAGGTATGGTGAATGGCAAGCAACTCATGATCTGTTGGTTAACTATGAATTTTTAGTTATTTGGTTAGTGGGACATTATTCCGATGTAAAAATAAATAAACGACAATTATGATACAGAATTCAATACGCATTAAATATAATCCAAGACATTTCACCATGGTTTCTAAAGGAAACAGCAACGAGTTTTTAGAAAAATAATTTATATCGTGTCAGAAGAAAAACGGGACAGAACAAAACAATGTCAAAATTAATTCAATTGGAGATATTTTAACATGCAACCAGGCAAATCAAACTTATCTGAAATAGTAATATTTTATTTGGCATTCATGAAAAACAAAAGCCTTCAAATAAAAAAAAAACGATAATACTATATTCATCTGCAAATAATCATTATTAGTCTGACTGACACAAATACAATACAATGTGAGGACAATTACAGTCATAATATAGACTTTCAATATGCATCATGATAAATGAAAATCATATTGATAAAGATTGCTTAATCATGTGTGAATATTCAGTAAGGTTAATAATATCATATGGATCAAAATAAAAAGATAGAATTATAGTTATTTCAATGAATTTTAAAGAAAAATACATAGAACACGGCAAAATTTTTGTTTATCCGACTCTGTTAATAGCCATTGATTGAGTGCAATTATTCTACTATAATGATTAGACATATATTTAGGATTATATGCAACATTTCAGACTTAGAAGTTTAACGCTTCGTTATAATTTTAGATTTACTTGAGACTAGTCATATAACATTTTCCACGTGAATTTCGAATTCTCCAAAAAACACTTTCAAACTATGATTTTATATGACTGGGAACTATGCTTACTTTACAAAGAAAGTTGTACCCATTTCATATGTGCATAATGGAACTTAATTACTGTCAAGTTCTATACTAATAATCATTTTATTTTATGAATTCCAATAAAGATACAACCTGTTCAGATGGTCCTTCTGCTGTTATAGTCAAGGAAAATTTTTACATTGTTTCAAACAATGATCCTTGAAGATATCAATCAATCAATGACATTCTGCTGATTATTTCGCTAGTGCATATTTTGATTATGTTTGTCTATTCAAAGTTCTACAAAGTTTTGTGCTCGGCTAACATATTTAATACACACTAATGACTAAAAGCAGTTTCATATTCAATTAAGTTATTATTTACTGAATAGACATAGAGAGAACTAGTTTCAACTTCTATTCTACATCATTGCCAACGAGAAATCATCGTTGTATCATAATGATTAAAGTATATTGAAGTTGTCGAATGTGGGAGAGTTAAAAGCTAATTCATAAGTAGCAAAGACTTACTGAAACAAGAAGTCACAAAAACAACTATACCAAATTTCGTCATGAAATCTAATTTAACCAAGTTCATAACAGTAGGATATATTTATTGGAAGTTTGATTGTCAATAACTGTCTAACGCAACTTTTCAAACTTTGTTGTCAGTGACATAAAAAAAACGATCTATGATATCTCAGCTTTCACTAAAAATAAAGAAAGATAACGAAAAGCATAATATAAATATAAAAGAAATTTTGACAAAAGATCATATGGAATCATGCCAAAATTAATCTAGTATAAAGTTTTTGTATTTCCAAAATTCAAATATCAATGACTTTAATAGAATTTGTCAACGACAATACAATATCACATATGCTTCAGCAAGTCATTAGTGGTCTTACCACGAACGATCTCAAAATCTTCTTCTCTGACATTAGAGGCAATACTTTAGAAAACAAGACTAGAACAAGCTTTTGAATATTTGTCTAAAAGGGCTAACAAGAAAAATTTTCAAATGTTCATTGTATAACATTGAAGTTATTAATAATAATTCTTTTTATAGATGACCATGTAAAACTGCTAAATGTATCGAGATATGAAAGATGAGTAATGGTTCCATGAATAATTTAATCATCTTTCTTTAAATATTTTTTTATCATTATATTCGTATACACTATTAATAACTAAAAAAGTCAAAGACAACCATCATTATTCAGAAAATGAAGATTCGTTTGTTGTTGTTTTATGTATATACTTTGATATAGTAGGAAGTATTTGATCTTGTCAAAATGAAAATAATTCCTATTCGGTGAAGATGGAATTGAGAGAGTATCACAGGCATAATATCTGATGAAATCAACTGAATTACGATTGAATTTTGTAAAGTTGACTAAGTTACATACACGACATATATTCTTAAAGATTCATGTTTACAGTTAAGAAACATTTTTTAAATGACTTTCCTTGAAAAGAAACATTAGTAGGTCATCACAGCACCGTTATCGTACAAAAGGTTCTGATATATAAAGACGAGAGATATTGATTAGACCGGTAACCGACAAGTTTACATGACCCATCCGAAAAGCAATTCTTGACTACTAGTCACAGATCCATTGCTTTGTTACATATCGTTTTTAAAAAATAGTGGAAATTGTTATAATATTGAAGCAGAACATTCACATTACTGTTGTAATGATCAAAGGAAGAAAATGTCGAACCAGTTGCTAGACATGAAACTTACGATATGGGACAATTGAAGTGTGGCACAAGTCGATCAGATTGATTTAAATTGGTCTCCATGCTGAAGAAGAAATGCTTTGTAACTCACAATTCCGACTAATTTATGAACGATGCAATGTTATTAAAACCTAGAAGTCATGGAACGAAAGAGACTACAAAAGCAGATCATGTGCTCAATATATATGATGGATTTCAATAAAATCTTGACTGTATGTAACCTGAAGCAAAATATGAAAAGATCAAACATTTTAGTTTTTAAAACCACTCATTTGTTTACACATTCAAACTACAACAGCTCGTTCCTAGGGTAAAAAGAAATAATAGTAATCAGATTAATACTCATGCATTGGATAGTTAGATGTTCAATGCATGGATATTGATGTGTTTGCTGTTATTTTGGTTTACCTTAGTGAACGGCTATTATGGTTTTAATATCTGAACGAGAAAACGATTTAAAAAGTTAAAATTTTTGACCTTTTTAAATCTTACTTCGGATTAAACATAGTAAAAGTTTCATTGAAATTCATAATATGAATTGAGCACATAACCTGCTTTTGTACAGTGTCTTTCGTACGATGACTCTTAGAGATGAAAACAAAAAATCGATTTCAGTAAAAAAAAAAACATTATACTCATTATCTTATTATTCAATTTGTACTTTTTGTGAAATTCTAATCAAAGTAGACTATGTTTTCTTATTAGTGAGAAGCATCAACGCTTTTGAAATATTAAAATGTGTGCTCTATTTCAAAAGTATTTCCATAAATAAATGGTCTGACTTTAGATAGAACATTCCAAAACATTGACTATGGTCGAATTTTCATTTGAACTTAGAAAGAATAGATTAATTCAGAAACATAAAAGAATAAGTTTTATAGTAGTATGTTCGGAAAAAAGAACATTTAAAAAACAATTTTGCTAAAAAGCAATAATCACTTATATGAGTTTTTTCTATGATTTTTATTTAAAGACTACTCTCGTTTGAAATAGCAGAGTAGTAGGTCAGGCCTAGTTTGATTTGAAGATTTGATCTAAACTAGCTGCTTCAGACGAGTAAAGAATCACTCTAATCATTATTTGTATGTCTATGAAAATTTTTTTTTTTATCGTTCTGTGACTGAATAGAGAAAATGCACATCGATCATTATTTGTCATTAATCCAAAACAGGTTGGGTTTGGTTGACTGATTTTTCAACACATAAAGAAGAAGAAAATCTGTCGACTGTATCTGAAACCTTGAATCATGCAAGGAATATCAATTTTTAAATGAAACTAATGATTTTGATCGGACTCTTTATTTTTTTGTTCGATCGTCTTCAAAAAAATCTTTTTTTTCTGTTGCTTGACAACATTCTACTTGAATTGTGACAACGTTGATAAATACTGAAATGGATTGAGAGAGTCGATTTTTCTCTTTCCTTTCGCTTACTCTCTGCGTCCTTCATTGTATTGATATAAAAAAAAACTTGTGCTTATTGTAAGAAAAGAAAATGTGTATATTTGTGTTGCAAGCATATAAGCTAAGGCAATTAGCCAATTTATGCTGGAAAATATTCAGATTATTTCATCCATTGACGCCCGTAATATAAATATTAGCTTTTCGTTTAAAAACAAAATCTAAAAAAGATTCAATAGTCGACTATCAATTTGGCATACAGATGATATCATATAAATCTCGTTCTTTTGATAAATTACAAAATATGATACTGTATATAAATCGTATGTATAACGTTCACTATTCAATTTGAGATGTGATAATTAATAAATTATTTTTTTTGTGAAAGTGATGTACGATTGTTTTTTAAGTTGTTTTTGGGTTTCATCCATTTAGTAAAATTATTAAATTCAATACACGACGTCCAAATAATTAATAACTCCATCCATTTTATTTTTAAACATTCTAACATAATTCTTAGCCATGTTCGAGCTTCAGATCCATTTGTCAGAAACTCCGACATTTTAGATTCTTTTCCACTCAATTATAATCGTATAAAAGACTATTTACTTAGTAGTGAAACATTACAAATTACTTTGAGACAAAAAAATTTAAAAGATGAATTTAGAAGTTCTTCAAGTATTTTATTACAAAAAAAAATATAGTGAAATTGATCTGTATATTATTCAGCTTAATCGAAAACATCTTTGCCATTCAGTAAAAGGTAACATGAGTTTTATGTTTATTATTATTAGTCATTGTTTCTTATCGGTTTTTTATGAAGTAATAAAACAGTTTTTAAAAAAATATCCTAAGAGAGACAACACCAATGTGTAAAGTTGAAGGACGAGACATGCCTAGTCAAACATAAAAATTCGTCAAATTATTGTTACTTCTGTCCACTTACCATTTAACTGTTTGACTAACTGAAGAAATAAATAGAAAGGAACACAGAATCTATTCAAATAGTATTATTTACGAAACTATGTTCTATCTTTAGAAATTTTCAATATTTCAAATCATTATTATTATATGACCAATCTCAAGTATACGAATAGACAACAAATCTCAAAAAAAAAAACCTTAACTAATAAATCTAAGAGAAAAATGTTATACATTCATGACTCATCGCCTTTAGTGTAAATATTGCTAGAATAATTACTTTTTCTATAATACACTAATATTGGATTTATTAGTTATTGCGTTAATGAATTTAAACGAGCAAAGAATAACTAATAGAATATAATAAACTGCAAAAAAAAAAACAATATTTCATTAATAAAATTAATAATTACAATAATATCCTATTTTTTATTTTTAGATTTTCGTTTAACTTGTAGATAAAAAAAAACAAGAACAATGAATATCGAAGACAGTCAAACAATGGTCATGTTAAAACCAGATGAAAACAAACGCATACATGGTTCAACAATAAGTTTTAATTCAATAAATTACATGATTTCTTCGAAAAAATGGTACAATATTATTTCTGATCTTTGCTTTCAAAATCAACAAAAACAAATTCTTTACAATGTTACCGGAATTTTTAAATCAGGTATGAACGCAATTCTTGGACCAACAGGAAGTGGAAAATCAACATTATTAGATATCTTAGCCAATCGAAAAGATCGACAAGGTTTAACAGGAGAAATACTTTTAGATGGACAACCATATAGACAAGATATCAATTCAAGAATAGGTTATGTTGTGCAAGATGATATACTTAGTGAAACATTAACTGTTAGAGAAAATTTAATGTTTTCAGCTAATCTTCGATTACCAAGACATATTCCTTTTAAAACTAAAATCAATATTGTTAATCTTGTCCTTTCACAATTACAATTAGAAAAATGTGCTAATTCAAAAATAGGTAGTCAAAGTAGTCGACGAATATCTGGTGGAGAACGAAAACGAACTAATATTGGCATGGAATTAGTTTTATCGCCGACAGTTCTCTTTTTAGATGAACCAACAAGTGGTAAGTTCAATTTTAATTTTAATTATTTCATTCTCTCTTACATAATTCTATTATTAAAAAAAAAAACAATCTTGTTTATTGAAGGTCTTGATTCATCGACGGCTAATAATATAATAGAATGTTTGTCTCAACTTTCTCAAAAAGGACGTAAGTTATAATAAATGATTTTTATGTAAAATATGTTTTATTCGATTTCTTTTTAATTTTGCAGATACAATTATATTTTCTATTCATCAACCTCGTTATTCAATATTTAAATTATTTGATAATTTGCTTTTAATGGGTGCTGGCCATTGTATTTATCATGGTTCAGTTCATGATGTTCTTCCATTTTTTTCTTCAATTGGTTTAACATGTGAAGAACATGATAATCCAGCTGATTTTATTTTGGATGTCTGTCAAGATATACGACATATACCATATCCTAAAGATGATATCGATAATGAAACTGATCAAAGAAAGGATAACATTTGTCGATATTTGCACGACGTTTTTATCAAATCACCTATTTATGATTCAATTCAACAACAAATTCAAGATGCGAGTAAGTCGTCAGATGGAACATTAAATAAACAAGTTAAAGTAGTGTCTCATCCATGTTTAATTGAAATGTGGTATGTAACTCAACGAGCATTTCGTAATTCATTTCGAAATAGTACATTAATGATAATGCAAACGATCGTTCCAATATGTTTAGCAATACTTGTTGGTTGTCTATATATGAATACTGATCATACATTTGAGAATGGAGTTAAAAATCGTTTAGGTGCTATATTTTTTATTGTTTCAAATGAAGTATTTATAAATTTATCAGCATTAGAATTGTTTATAAAAGAACGTGTATTGTTTGCACATGAAAATGCAAGTGGATATTATCGTGTTTCAACGTATTTTATTTCAAAATTAATGTGTGATATAATATTATTACGATCATTTCCTTCAATTGTTTTCTCATTAATATCATATTTTATGATTCAATTTCAACAAACAGTTAACAAATTTTTTATATATCAATTAGCTATATTTGCTACATCTGTTTGTTCAGCATCAGTATGTTTTTTTGTTTCTGCAAGTGTCGAAACAATAGGTAAGAGATTGGTATTATGAATATAGATATGTTGATTTATACATTTTATTTATTTAGGTGTTGCCAATTTAGTTGCAGCTTCATTTTGTGTTGTAATGCTTGTATTTACAGGATATCTTGTTGATGTAACAAATATTGTCAAATTTCTTTCATGGATTAAATGGGTTAGTCTTTTTCGTTATGCATCAAATGTAATTACTATAAATGAATTTACTCAATTAAAACTTTGTTCAACAAACAATACAAATAATTGTTTAATCAAAGGTGAACATATTCTTGATAATCACAAAATCGATTATTCAACTACATGGGATTTATGGAAAAATTTTGTAGCATTAGCTGCAATTACTTTCTTTTTTTTTATATTGACATTTATTCAATTACTAAGACTACCAGGACGAAGTCATCGATAAATTTTAGATAATTTAACTATATAGAGATATTTGTTTAAAAACTTTTATTTGCATTTAATTAGTTAATTTATGTAGTTCAAATAAAATTAAACTAAATGGCATGGATTATTTTGAAAAAGAGTTTCTATATATATGTATATACAAGAACATGAACATCAATTCAAATAAAATTGATACAATATTTTATTGAATAAATGAGAAAAGAAAAAGAATATGTTTATGATTTTATTTTAAATGATTGTTTCAATCAGCAATGATTTATGTTAATATTTGGAAAAACAAGGATTTATGACAAAAATCTTACAGTTATACCATACTAATTAATGAATTATCTTGAAAGCGTAAAACAAAAACCTTCTGATGGGTTGAAATGAGAAATATCGATAAAATGATAAAGATAACGTGACAAAACATAATGGTAATAGAGCAGCTGAATACTGATTTACGTTTAACAAAGCAAAATTATGTTATATTTAAAACATTATCATTTCTTGTTTATAATAACTGTTGATGCATAAATAATGGTACTTAGTATTTTCAATATTTCTTCTATTTTCATTTTTTGATGAAAAATTTTTAATCGAAAGTTTCTGTTTGAAATTCTCGACAAAGTTATAGGTGATTTGCTTCAAAAACCTATATTTTATAAACGAATATAACAAAGACTATTCATGAAAATAAGAAAATATTTATGTAGGAAAATAGAACTATAGAATGGTATTTAAGGATATAAAACGATGTGAAAGCCATGAAACTGACATCTTTAATACATGCGAAGAACATGTGATTCATATATTGATGCTACTTCTTCGTATTTTATATTTGAATTACATGCGAAGTTGAGTCAACAACGTTTTAAAACAAAATACGAGAAATAAGAATCCATTCAAAATGTTTGTTACCGTTTGCGACGTAATAGTTTCATTTTTTTTTTCATGTTTTAGCAAAAATATTGTGAGAGGTAAAAAAGTAAAAACAAATGCTTTTTTTCTTATCTATGAGCTGTGTACACTGAGTAAATTTTTTAAAATAAATATTTTCTATTGTTAAATTATACTGTATGATCTTTGAAAAGAATGCTGTCGTACTTATGATTTCCTTGTGACTCGAAAAATTGGTGTTGTTATTGTTTTTGTTATGCGCATTTCTCAATTATAAATAAGAGCTGTCCAATGCAGCATAACATTACATTTTTCAAAATAATAATATTACACATTTACATTTGCGATATTACATTGACTTAAACTTAAATAAGAAATAATAATAATTATGTCGGCACCAACATCATCCGATCGAAATCAAGAATCACCAGGTAATCCACTAGGCGTACCTGGAGTAGAGGCTGAACAAAAACTTGGACAACAGGGATTATCAAATTCCTCAACACGTCAATTGGGTGAAGATGGTAGTGGACAACGTCATTTACTTGGCGAAGGCGGTAGTGGACAACAGCAACATAAAATTGGTCAAGATGAAAGTAAACAACAGCAGCATCAATCCTAGATTTTCACAGTAAAATGACTTTTTGGCACGGAAATCAACATTAATGTGTATATTTGGTTTTTCAGTTTTCATTTTTCTATTTATTCAATTTTTTTCGTGTCTTAATAAATGCATGGATACATTCAAATAAAAAAATTCTATTATAACTGATTTCTTTCAGATAAAAGAATGAGTATTATTCGATATAAATTTCAATAGCGTGAAACTAATCGCCTGTCAATGAAAGCGATGAATAAGAATTATACGAAATAATATACACTTCTCAATAGTAGTAAAAAAAACGAATGTAACATTCATCATAACACGAACAAATATCGAGAATCACATGTGGCATTGTTAGATAGAAATTGTAAAAAGTCAGTGGTTGATGAAGAAGATAAGTTAGAAACACACAACTAACTAGGATCTAACATAAATAAAAAGAAAAAAAAAAGCTCTCATAGCAATAAAGTTCTTCCGAATAAAATTTGAATGCGTTTCATAGGGTCTTGTCAGATGAAGCTAATAGAGAGCAATTGTTTTATATTATCATATAATGTCTAAGAACGAACTCAATGTACTATAGTTGTTCGATGAAAAAATAATGGTTCAAACGATCATCGCTTATAGACCATATTTTTTTCAATCGTTTGAAAATGATTATTTTCTTGATTGATGATGATAAACAAAAAAATGGCAATCGAACATTTTAGATTTTACAGTCTACATTTTTATTGTTTTTTTGAATTCTACCAAATAAATGATAGCAAAGTCTAAGAAAATCATAAAAATATCAATGCAAGATATGAAGAAATTGAATCTAAAAACCACTAATAAAAGCAGCTGTTGAGAAAACGATTAGAATAATCATCGATAGTTTTGCACGATATAAGAGTCTATAGTGCTTTATTTCATTTACGAGGAAAGATCATCAGGTGTATCCTTATGATTTCAATGAAAACTATATAGGTTTGGTAAGTCAAATGCTCTCACCTCAAATATAGAAAAATGAACGGCTGAGATTGTTCCGATAAAAAACGTTGCAATAAGATATTTTTTGATTAAGACCCTAACAGAGAACATCGGTGAGCTTTTTCCGATGATTATGTTGTTAATTTTGACTTATACCATACTTTTCTGATCAAAATCTGCTGAATTCCAGTCAAAAAGATACAGAATCGTTTTTTTGAGAATAGTCTTCTTAGAAGTTTTTAAGTGGCCAGTATTTTCGGAGTATTAAAAATAATTATATAGGGTTTTTGTAGCATTTCATAAGTTCTATCGATGGGTATATGAAGAGTATATGAAGATTTACATGAACTCAACGATGTAGTTCTCTATTGATCGACAAGATAACAAGCAGAACAGAATTTCCAGCTAACCTATCATTAATAGCTAATGAAATGACTAATGGAAGACATCAATAATTCGTTTTCGATAGACTTGTTCTTAAACGAATCGATGTAGAATTCAATGTTCTATCCGATGAGACCATCCTAAAGTGAAAATAATGTCGCTGTGAAAAGATATCAATAAGATATCTGACAATTTCGACGATTGTAAACTTAGAGTAGTATTTCGGTTCATTATTGTCCTAGACATTATCGAATCAATTTGGGATAACATCCTTCTGTATCCTTGTTCTTTGTCGACGTCTTCTAATTGTCAGCTCATTGACAGTCAGTGGTAGGTTAGCTGAAAACTCTGTTCTCTTTTTTTGTCTTGTAGATCAATAGAGAACCACATTGTTCAGTTCATGTAAATGTTCATATACCAAGTAATAGCGCTTTTGAAATGCCGCAAAAACTATATATTCCTACACTCCGAAAATGTTGGTCAGCTACGAAATTTCTAGGAAAATATTCTCAAAACATGATTTTGTACCTTTCCGACTAGTATTCAGCAGATTTCAATTAGAAAAATATGGTAGGAGTTGAAAATGATAGCATACCTGGAATCAGCATAAAAAACTGAGCTGACTTATGAATGCTTCAGATTTTTTTGCGAACTTTTATTTTTTTAGTCAAAAAACATTTGTGGTCTCCATCGGGGTCTTAATCAAAAAATATTTTACTACAACTTCTTTTTATTGGAGCAGTCTCAACCGCTAATTTCTCTATATTTGAGATTAGAGTATTTGATATGACAAACTCATAGTTATCGTTGAAATCTCGCGGACACATCTAGAGATCTTCCCTTGTTAGTTAGCAACTTTATATTACTCATAAGATTTATTTTTTAAAATATTCTTTCTTAAAGTTTTATAGAACTCTCAAAATAAACGTAATCTCATAGCATCGATTTACTTTCTTTAAGAAACGTGATCTGTTGCTTTTCTTTAGTGAAGCATCTTTAAAAAGTCGAAAAAGCTTAGAGTCATCACTAGTGCCCGGCGTGACCATAAAACCGTGACCAAAGAAAAAAAGATTGTTTGATTGTAATTTTCATGTTGAATACGACAAAAATATTTTTGATTTGATCCTTTGTATTGAGAATTTTCTCCTCTACAAAATAATGTATAAAACTTGAGGCTACAATGATCTATACGAGAGAAAACAACGACACATTTGTCGTGACCAGTTCTAGTCACGGTCAGTCACGGAAATTTCGGGTGACGGACATTTCGCACTAAGTCATTCCGGACTCCGGTCATATGTCCGAGTGTTCGGAAATGATTTTTGTCCTTAAAAATCTTTGACGGGAGTTCGTAACCCTTTTTGGACTGGACATCGTATTGAAAAAAACAGGGAGATCGAAAGAGTGTGACTGGGAATTCGGAATGGCATTCTCATTACTATGTGTAATAGAGTGTTCGGAGATTGGGATGAACAAGACCGGATATTCGGAATAAAACTTTAAGGATATTTTTTCATAGGAAAGGTCTGACTATCGTAATGAAAATGATCGAGAGTTCATTATGCGATTTTCTAGAAAGTCGTAACGGATTCCTTCTGACATCGGTAACTGTTGTAAAGACTTTTCTTCCTTTCTTTCTTATTATGAAAAATAGGATTCAGTTATCTAGAATAATAATTAAACACATTTTTTTCTTTCAAAAGTCATGGTGTTCGTAATAAAAAGCATGTGCATATAAGGAATAATAATGATAAATACAAACACTTGAGTGACAGTAGTAACAACAATAGAAATATTGACTTCTTGAATTCATCAGGACATTCTTTGTGTGCCATCTTATAATAAAAACTAGTGAGTCACTTAACATCTCCCAAAGAAGAGCAAACATGAACACAGTTTTGAACAATCTGTCTTTTTTCATTAAGATTTCCCTACAATTTTCATTATGATCTCCAAACATTCACTATTTTATTTGCCTTAACTTTCATTACGACCTCTCGGTCGTTTTCAATCCGAACTCCAGTCAAATTTCAAGTTTTTATCTGTCAAACTCTGCCATGGCTGTTCGTGACGATCATCTGGACAACTTTCATTACAAACTCCATGCTTTAGTTAATTTTTGATTGTTTTTTGTCATTCCGAACACCCTATCTTTTTTCTTATGTCAGATGATCGTAACGAACATATGTTACTGGAGATCGTAATGAAAAGTTAGTGCGAAATGTCCCTTTCCCACAAAAGTGTTCGTGACATTTATGAGAAATCTTTTGCAAACTTACAATTGGGTGCTTGAAATATTTGTTAAACCATTTAATGCTTGTTCCATTTTTGAAAAAGATGAGAAAGATTATATAAATAAAAATCTAAAATGAATATTTGGGCAAAGGAAATATGCATAATAGAAAACTTTTATTGATTGGCTAAAAGTGAATGTGTTATTGTTAAACTCATTTAGTAAGATGTGAAATATATAAAAGAAACATCACAGTCGCAACTGTGTTTTAATAAAATGGAGCAATTTATGCTTGTACAAGACGATCTTCTTGATGATCTTCATTAAGTTCATCATAAATTTTTTGTGCTTCTTCATATTCTTTTGATTGTTTTAATGTATCATCATTATTTGCTGTATTCTAGAAAAAAAGAAGAGACAAAAAATCTCAATCAAAAATAAATTATTTTACATAAACATGTTGAAATTCTAACCACGATTTAATAAAACTTCTTTTTGTATGTGAAATCATTGATTCCGTTTCTTTTAATACTTCTTGCTAAAAAGAAAATCAATTAAATATAACCAAAAGAAAAAATAAGCCAATAAATATCTCGTTTTTCAGATCCTATTCATCTAGACCTTCATTTGCCTTTTTTCAACTTTACGTTTTTCATTTTTATATACTTTTTTATATGATAAATATTCTTTTCACGTTTTAAAAAAACACAATATTCGTTTTTATAATTAAATTTCATATACTCATCGTTTAGTAACACCAGTTTTGATTTTCAAATCTTTTAATTTATCAGTCATATTCAAAAAGAAAAAAGATCTAAAATAAATAAAACATTCAAATTATTGCACACTTGTCAAAAAATAAAAATCATCAATAATTAAATTGAAAATAATTATTATAACAACACACAAAACAACAAAAGAAGACGATCATTTCTTATACTATTGATAATGTCTGTTTAATATCATTTAATAACATTATAGCAAGAATAATTCGATCAGAATTTATAGTTAAAATTATTATTGATTGAAGAATATTTAATTGAATTATTAGAAGTATTCATGATTCGCTTAATATTGTTTGACCAGAAAAACTATGAAAAAAATAAATAAATTTGAGTTGATTTACGAAGGAATCTATCAAAGTGATTCATCGCATTGCCCACAAGTAGGGCACCTGTAGACTAGAACAAGCCGAAAAGGACATTGGTTCATGTTGTGATTCAGCTGAGATATGGAAGTTTTGGGTGTGGGTGGGTGGGTGTGAGTGTGGGTGTGGGTGTGGGTGTGGGTGTGGATGTGGGTGTGGGCGTGGGTGGGTGTGGGGTGTGGCTGTGGCTGTGGATCATCCCTTTAAATTATTCTACATTGACACCTACACTCACATCATCACTCACACCCACACCCACACCCCACCCTCAGTCTGATCATTCTT